GACTCAGTTTAAATCTTGTTGAGCAAGTCGTTTAAATAAACCCCTCAGACTATAAGTGTCTCTTATTCTTATTGCTGATGTACGGAGTTTCCCTGGTGAGAATAGGCAGCCGTGATCCAAGCTTGAAGTTCATATGGAAGAAAGCAAATAGGCAAAGCTGAGGGAATCATCAGCTGAGGACGTGCTTTACTAGATGCAGGAAATCAGATCAACGTGGTCAAAGAAGCACAAGAGAAAACCCTCTTAAAGGTTGTGCTTTAGTCTGAGCTTCCATTTCAGTAGAACAGCTGTAACACGAGGCATTAAAAAATGAAATAAATTTGGCACTTAAGTTTGGTATTGAAGATATTTTACTTCAAAAAAAAAAAGGTCTAAAATATGCTTTAATAACAGAGAACTTGTAACAGTCCACTTAATTAAGATCTGGCTCCCCACCCTCTGGCTTTGTTTTCGAATATGGGCATCATTTGACAGGTAGCAGCAAGCACCACTTATTTTCTTGCATCTATGAGCACTGAAAAATCTTAGAGCAATGTCAATTATTTTTTGAATGGGTCAATAATCAAAATATTGAACAGTTGAGAAATACGCATTTCTAAATGATTGAAGTAAGAAAAATGGTCATAGATTCTCCAGCAATTTGATTTTCCAGAGGAGAGCCACAGAACCTTTGTATGCAGCTCCTGGGGCTTTCTAGTCGTTACATCCATTGAATATAAAACCGTTGCATTGCAGGTGGATTTCTGTTTTGCTGTCCTTGGCTTGATATTCCTTTAAGCAAGTGGTTCTTAGTCACAAAAAGGCTCAGGGGGCAGTCTGCAAGTTGACCCATGCCGCAGACTGGTTAATAATGTTCACGGTGAAGGTGGGTGAGGCGATTGACCTGGAAGATGAACGTTGCTGAGAATTGCTGAGCAGCCGGAGAGTTGTATCGCTCTGCTTTTTGGGTGCGGTGGGGGGGATACCGGCAGCGAAACATCAACGGCTGCTGTGCAGTGCTCTTTCCTAACCCTCGCCTGCTCTTTCTGGAGTTGCCATTCCTCGGTACGTTTTGAGGTGATGTGAGCCTAAAGCCTGCTAGTAACAGCTATTCTATGAGTTTTATTGGCAAATCTAAGTGTAAGGAAAATCACTTCTGACAGAAACAGACTTTACCTCTTTGTGTTGGTTTTGTTTAAACAACTAAAAATCCAAGAGCAACTCCATCTTTCTGAATAGCTCTAAGATTACCTAAGATGCTGCTGGATCTATTAGCAATTCCCAGCTCTTTGGTTTTTTAGAAGCTTTTAACCTGATTTCCTAACATGTAACCACATTATCAGTTCATTTGTTGCATCCCCACCCTTGCAACTAAGCGGAGTCGAAGGACTGGAATCGAGAAGATGCTGATCGCTTTCCCTTGTCCGACACAGAACCAACCCTCCCTTTCGTCCTGTCCTTACCAGTTAGAGGCTTGTGGATTTGTAAGCTGTCGAGCAATGAGAGATGCCATCCTTTGCTGATACACGTTATATTTGTTAAAGAGGGAATGGGAACGTGGAAAAGTTGGGAAAAGTCTGAATTCTTGTTTATTTGTCACTAGAGAGCTCAAAAGTGAAAGCAGCCGTGTCTTTAAGGGAACTAAGTAGTTCCCAAGTGTTCTGGAAAAGCACTGTTTAAAAACTCAGGCTTGTGGTTGAAGACTTCTTCGCTGCAGCAGCAGAGCCTAGCTGCCCTTTTTGCCTTCTGAGATAACTTAAAAAATACATATATTATATATAATAAAATACAGCCTGCCAGCAAGCATTTGAATTCAGAAGGCGCAGCAGCAGAATTCTGTCGTACTCAGCTTCTGCAGTGACATTGACCTAGACAAGAATTGCTTCAGAGTGTTTAATTTGTTATGGTATATATACATGTTCTTTCCCATCATCTCATATATATTTCAATTAAGCCTGAATGCAGAAGAAAAAGTAAAGCAGTGAGCCACTGCTGCCCAGGGGTTAGGCATGAGGCTTTGACTATGGAAAAGTTATTTCCACATGGAAATTGTTTTAAGTGACTTTTCTGATCAGAGTAGAAACTCTAGAACTGGAAAGAAAAAAAGAAAAAAAAGGTTAAATGACAATTTAATGCTAATGTTTGAGGAGCAAAACGAGAAGCAAACACCCCTGTGTGTCGCTGGTTAGCAAGGGAGTACGCTCCATGGTCTTCCAGGGATGCTGAGGGCAGGAGCCAGAGGTGGGTTGCTGGATGAGCTTACAGGCTTTTGCAGAGTTTGGGAAGCGTTTGATTCCCCTCAGTGCTCACTCTATTTTCCTTACCTTTGGCTACCTCTTAGAAAAAATTCCTTTTCTGAGCTTTCCAGGGCACCCTGCCACCCCGCCTCATTCTTGCTGCCTGTGCCCAGGATGCTGCCCATTACCAACGGTTTCAGCTCATCAAACTCCACCAAGCGAGGCTGCTGCTGGGTACCTGGGAGTTGTATTTTCCATCTTTAGCTTCATTTTTGGGGCTCTCTGCTTCCTCAGCAGATGGCATTTTTATCATGTTTTCAGAAAGTCCGTATTGCCTACAAGATAGAGTATCTCTTTAATTGTAAAATAAGACCACCTGTTCTGATTTTAATAAATGCAGTGAGCACTTGTCTTCATATATCTACTTAAAAATAGCTGCTTCAATTGAATTAAAAAAAAAAAAAATCCCCTGCTCAACTGGGCACTTCAGCTGCTGCAATAATCAATTAATAATTAAGTGGCTAATTTTGGAACCCACTGGCCTTGCCTGTTTCCTCGGCCTCATTGTGATCAGAGCAGACAGTGATTGATTGCCCTGCCGAAGCCGGGAGGCACACGCGGTGCGGGGGCCAGATGCCGGCAGGCTTCAAGCTGTTTATTGCGGTACTTAGAAGGTGAATGCGACTTCATGCCTCTACTGTGCAAACGGACTTGTATTTCCTGCTATGGCTCTTTTCTCTCTGCCTCGCTCCAGCTGCTCACATGCAGCCTGCCACAGGTACCCCTTTGAAGGGTAAAACGTGGTGTGTGGAAGGTATCCTACTGATGGGCCAGCTGGAGAGGAGCTTGAAACTGTAAGCAAAAACGGACTTGAAAGGCTTATCCACGAACTGGCTCTTAGTAGAAAGTCCTGCTAGAATAATTTTGCTCATTAAAGTAGCAATTGCCTGTTAACCATTGTGTAGCTCCTGCAGCAGGTATGCCAGCCAGGTAAGAAAACATGGAGCTTTTTGGCTCAAGTTTTGGGAGGTGGAAGGGATGAGGATGCCCAAATCTTGTTAAAGAAAAGTTAACACTTAATTCAGAGTCCCTTTGAATATGAACCCCTTTACTGAATGACATTGTCTTGTTCTAAAGCTAATTAAAATACCCAGATGGTGGGAACACACTGGGGTTTTATTTGATAAGTGTTGGCTGTTCAGAGGGTTAATATTTCAGAGGTGGAAGAAACAGGAGTGTTTGAAACAACGCTTGGGGATACAGCACTTCCCAGAGTTTTGGTGCTAGCAATAACCGTTGCAATTGCTGCGGTGGGAGAAAAACTTGGTGGGGCTGCTTGGAACATCTGCTTTTACGTGGTGGGGAGGGAGAGAGACAGAAGGCTCTTAGCGCAGTGGTCTCTGAACCCATCGTGTTATGCAGAGAGCAGGATGCTGGAACACTTAGAGGGGAGGGTGCCTTGCCTGCTCGCCTCGTGTTACTGAAGGTGTTTCTGACACAGCCCCCCCTCCCCATCCTGCCACAGCCGCCAGTTGCTCCGTTAATAGCGGGGAGAAGCTACCCTGGCTGGTCCGATGGCAGTTGTTGTAGCCTGATCAATGTAAATCCAGTTATCTCTCAAACCACATGGGATTTTGAGACAGCTGGGGTGGCGGTTGTACGGCTGAGAGCTCTGCTTTGAAATGCTGTGCAAACACAAAATTAACTCTCGCTTTTGCCAGCTCAGTTCGTTTCTGTGTAATCTTTGTGATAAACTTCCATCGGCGGGGTGTTATTTCAGGGAGGAGTGTCAGAGAAGTTTTCAGCTGACTGGGTATCGCAAGTTGCTTGGGGAGAAAGACGTCCAGCTCCGTTTCCTTGCGTGTGTGTGGCCTTCTCTCCCTGCGCTTCCAGAATTGCAGGGTCTAATTAAATGGAGTTCAACATTAAAGGCTGAAAGTTGTGCAGGGAGAAGCTTATTAACCTTGTTGAGTTGGAAGGAGCTCTGGGGGTGTTAGAGACTTGGGTCTCGTGGGGTTTTCTATTCCTATTTGTATGTTTTCTTGGGAATTGACATTTAATTGTGCAGAAAATAAAATATATTGCTAGTTCTGTTGCGATCCCTTTCATGTGGTTGTGTCACTGCCGCACATCTGTGAATTAGATCTTAAGAAGAAATGGAATTTGCTCTATTCTCTCACAAGCAGAAATGCTAATTCTCTCTTGATTGGTAATAAAGTCAAAGAGGAGAAGAAAAAATAAAAGTATGGAGCTTACCTGTTTGGAGTATGCATGTTAAATTTAATCCAAATTTTCCACTGTCCAGTTTAAGAAGCAGACAAGACTGTCATTTTAACTTCAAGATCTCCCAACGGTTTTCCAAGAGGGGACAGCTTGAGGGAGGAGAAGAGGGTACAGGGAATAAGAAATGGCAATTGGAGTGGCCGGGCAGGGAGCCAAGGAGGTAGGCGGGAGGGGCAAGAGTCCGTTTGGCTGCTGGCTTGCCCGTGGACCAGATGGGCTCTGCAGGAGGACACGTGTGTGTGCACACAGGTGTGGGTGCATCTTTTTCCCCTCGATGGCTCTTTGAAAGGCTGCTTGGACCCTTCCATACTGAGTCTTGGGGCTGTTTTATGAAAATTGACTAAAGTCTCGTTTGCTGTAGTACAGACTGTTTATCCTAGACAAGGCTTTAAGTGCGACGTGGAAGCTGCTGGCAGGGCTTTTATTGTGAGCTGACTGTTAGAGGTCCCCTGCATTCTCCCCAGCTGATTACATTTTTCCCCTTTTCTTTCTCCCCTTCAGATCACTGTGTTCACTACTATGATCTTCGCAACACTAAGCAGCCAATCATGGTGTTCAAAGGGCATCGCAAGGCAGTCTCCTACGCAAAATTTGTGAGCGGGGAAGAAATCGTCTCTGCGTAAGTAGGCTGAAAACTTTCTAGCCCTTGCTTTCTGGAGCTCTTCAGGGTCGTTGCGCAAGTTCACCTGCGTGGGTGGGTGTGCTCGCTAGCTGCTGTGCTTTTGGGAAGCAGATTGTTACTTTTTTTTTTTTTTCCTAAGACAAAAATAGAAATTAATTCCTGGTGTCGCTTGGCTCTACTCTGTATTGTGGAGCTAAAATGCTGAAGAGGAATACAAAGACGACTAGAATGCAGCTCCTGACCACAAGCGCTGACTTTGGGAACCTGTAGGTGGACTCTCCTTTTACCAAGTGCTCTGTGTGCTAAGGATGCTCCTGCCCGGAGCCCTGCTGTAGCAAAGGCTGCTGACAGAGCCCTGAGGATAGTAATCTGCAGTAAAATGCAACTCATGAGTGACAGAAGTGACCAAATGGTGCTACTGACTGAGATATAGCCACAGCCTGAAAGCAAGTCCGGTAGGACTGGCTGATCTGTTTTCTGGTAATTTATTAATCCCCTTTGTGAAGGCCCTTTTTAGGATTATACTTGGGTTAGAAAGTAAACAAGGAGAAGTTGTTGCATTTTGTGGAACTGACAGCATGCAGCCTTTCAGCCAGGGTAGGCCATAACGTCTGCTGTGGAGGCCCTGAAGAATAATATTCTGCAGCTTCTGTTCAGTTACCCAGCCAGATGTGTTTGCCCCAAAGCCAGATGTAGCTGCCTCAGTTTTAGGTAGGTTTTTAATCATGTGGGAATGAGTGTGTCTGTCAGATCACGTAGTGAAAGGTTTGAATAACTGGCCACAAGGCTCTTCAGTAAATCAGAAGTGAGCCGCTCTTGCACGGTGGGGAGAATGCAGGTGGCCTTGGGGGGCTGCAGGGGAAGCTTTGATCTCAGCATGCTTGACCCCAGAGCAGCAGCGTGGATCAGAGGGGTGCCTCTAGTCCCAGAAAATACATGTGCTGCCTTGCACTGAGCCAGGAATTATCTACCTTCGCTCTGTCCTGTGGTTTTGCACAGTTTGCTCTAGAAGCCTGGAGCCAAAGCAGAGTGTTTTAAGGTGTATTTGGGCTGCTAGTGAGTCACTCTGAGCTGAGCTGTGTGATGGAAGATTCCCTGGTGGCTTCTGGTACTGCTTATATTTAATCAGCTCCTCTCTTCTTATTTCCATTAACGTTATAACTCTATAAGGGCGCAAATTCATACCTAGAACACAGAGAAAATTAAATTTAATGCTTTGAACCAAATCTGGGTGAGAAGAAAGTGTTTAATAGAAGCAGGAGAAAGCTGGGAATACTTTGTACAGCCATGATCAGCTGGAGCCTACCATCTGTGGGATGTTTCAGGATACGGTGGCCCTGTCCTGCTTGAGCCTACCATCTCGGAAGGCTTGTCCCACTGTCCTGGGGAAATAGCAACAGAGCTGTCAGACTTGGACAGTCAGACTTGCACAGCAGGGTGAGGGGACTGACAGGATGGTTCACCTATCCTTTTTCTGCAGGAAGAGAAAGATATGTCAGAAAGTACAGATTATTTTTCATGTCTGTCTTCTGCAAAATGAGGTGGCAGTAGCGATTCCCAAAAATCAAGCACTGATTTCTTCTAAGAAAAAATTGTACGTATATTCAGATCCTCTAGATTTCTAGCTAAAGCTGTTTTATGGATTGCATTGATTTACTTTGCCTTGTAGAGTTAGGCTTTGACCTCAAGGGTGTTCAGAACTGCCTGGTATTTAGCACAACACATTGATTGCAGTGCTGATTTACAGCAAGACAGATTTAACAGAGCAGCACATCTGTGATATTTTTCTGGAGAGGGCGTGAAACCAGGAGAGCAGTGTAACACCACTGGGATCAGTGGCCTTTTCCTCTCCCTGCAGTCCGGCAGCGGGTAACTTCCTTCTTTTATGGCGTGCTTGTCCTAAGCAATGCACATATGGCTGGAGCTTGATGGGAATTTGTTAGCAGTAAAAGCATTCCATTAGTGATAGACGTTAAGTGGTTTTATTTTAATGAAGTGATCCAGAATGTATGCTACTAAAACATAGGGGTTACGTGCCTGTACACATGAGGTCTTCTTGACGGGTTAGCTGATAGCAGAGGCTGTCACAGAAATCTGACAGCTTGTAGACCAAGGATTAGTCTTTTGCTGCTTTGCCCTGCCTTCAGGAAAGTTTAGTTCCCAGGCACCTCTGAAGCTTTTAAAACAGTGTTTTGAAAATACGGCTGCCCTGCTAGCACAGGAGGCACCTTCCTGTACTTGTGGGCCAAAAAAGCAGAGATGTATCCCTTTTCTGCCCTTTCTGTGAGATATGCTGCTACTGTGGTGGTTCGGACAAGGGAAGGGGGAAGGGAGAGGGAGCAGCAGTGTAGGGCAGGGATGGATGTGGAGCAGACATCAGGCAGAGAAGCTGAATACTCTGTTTTATACCCCTCCATGGTCAAGACCTGGGCTGAGGAATGCACTCCTGCTTAAGTCACACTATTACAGATACAGTTCATACCTTTGTTCTGATCTGACCTCATACTATTATTACAAATGACTAACAAATCTTACTGCAGCTCTCTTATCGCTTCTTTGTCATTCCAGCTGTCATTGAGGACTGAGATAAGGTTTTTGCTACGTAGCACGAGATGCATCTCTCCTGTTTTGTGCTATATTTTTAGGTATATATGACATCGGTTCAGGGCTATTGTCTTATGTCATTGGTAATATTTGATGGATATTGGGTGGCTTTTCTTACCTTCAACTCTAAATATTCAGAAAGCGGCACTGTTGGGTGACGTGACCTGCATGATGGGAGCGTTGCCTGCCTCCCTTCCTCCCATCCAGGAGGTTGACAGGTCCTGCTCCCAGTCTCTTTCAAATTAAAGATCAGAACAGCATTACCTTTTTCCTCCTGGGTGGCTTCATGGGGCTTCAGTCCCACCACGTCACCGTATGTTCCCCTGCTGTGGAGCGTATCACCATAAGTAAGTGCTAGAATACTGGAGCCTGCTGATTGCTGGAATATAATGCCTGTGAAGTAAGAGAAGCTCATATCCCCTCAGGTTCGGGAGAGGAGATTAATCCTGTATCTCTCAGAAACCTGGGATCTTCCTATTTTAGTTGAGCTCTGCCAGGCAGAGACAACTACCTCCACCTCCCTTCTTGTGCTAAAGGGAAAATGTTTGCTCACAGTAAATAGGAAAACATTTTTGAAGGCAGGTATGTTTGCATGTGGTGGAACAGTGGAAAACATCATTTCTGATTTATTCCCAATGGAGTTTATATATTTTTAAATAGTAGTATTTATCTTTGCTGCCAAGGTGAAAAAAAGTGGAAGTTTGAGATCTGTATCCATGCAGTCTTGATTACACCTGAGAAAACTAAATCAATTTAATGCTAGTAGCACCTGTGAGCCCCCATAGGTTTTTGTACGCCGCTGCTTAGCATCGGGCAGGAGGAGAACATGCTTTCAGGGCAGCTGGAGAGGGAGGAGATTGCTGCCTACCCAAGTCCTGTAAAGGCATGAATGAGAGTTGCAGCTGGCACAGAGAAGGAACAGATTTTTGCCTATGCTGTAGAGGTTTGGTTTTTTTTCTTTTTTAAAAATAAAAAATTCAACATGTCCTGCATCTATGAGGATCTGGAAGAGGCAGCGATGGCCTGAAGGTTGTACGGTTCAGTGGAGGACTCTGCAATTGATAGCAGAAAGGAAGAGCAATTCTTCAGGGAAGCTTTTTTTATTCAAACATGTAATGCTTTTTGACAGATTTCTAAAATAATATGATACCTTTCCAAGCTCTAGCTGAGTTTCGTATGATTGAAAGTGGGATAAATCTCCCCGAGTGCACTAAGACTTCCTGCATTTACATTGCAAGTAGGGTGTTAAGGGGCAGGGCTGCAAGCACAGAGTTGTGCCGTATGGCATCGGGGTAACTTTAGCTGTTGTTTTCAGGTCAACAGACAGTCAGCTGAAGCTGTGGAACGTAGGGAAGCCTCACTGCTTGCGCTCCTTCAAGGGTCACATCAATGAGAAGAATTTCGTCGGGCTCGCGTCCAACGGAGACTACATCGCCTGTGGTGAGTAGAGCAGCCCTCCCGACGAGTGCTGGTGGTTTTCCTTGGAGCTGGCGCCCCTCCAGTCACAAAGCACAGCAGAGTTGTTCTGCCGAGCTCCGTGGGCTTTGTAACGGAGGATTATTCCGAACTTCCACCCTCCTTCCCGGAGAGTGGCGTAAGGAGCCCTGACCCAAGGGTGTAGTTGATTTCCTGCTGTGTCAGATGAGTTCTCTGTATATGATGATTCAGGCTTGCTGTCACCAAAAATCAGCTACTAGCATAGTCACTGTTAATATGACTTACGCCTTTCAAGTTTAGGAACTGACACATCCTCCCACATCTTCCTAAGGAAGGGCAGTAGCTGGGACCACCCAAGGGTCCTGTACTTGACACTTAGTGTGACATTCTGCATGTCAAAGCAATGAAGAGCTCCCTGGAAAACTGAAGCAGTTACTCCTTTGGCTGTTTCTGTCCTTTTGCCACTTAAGTTGGGCTGTTGTGCCTCTGTAAATCCACAGATCTTGGTGGGAAGGCAGTGACAGGCTGATAGCTGTGGGATGAGCAGGACAGCAGTGCCAGCACTGAAGGGAGGACCTCAGCTTGTGTGTTCTCTGATCTCTGTACAACTTGCAAAGCAGAAATTGGAATGGATTTCTAAATAAAGCCTGCGCACTGTCTACTCTCTCGCACTTAAGCCTCTACAGACCGAACTGTCACACTTGATTATGGCAGGGAACACGGTAGCAGTGCTACTGCCTTAGTGACGCCGAGCAGGCCGAGGTTAGCGATGTTTTCTGCGGTAGCGTAGGTGCTCTGCTCTGCTTCGAATGCTCTGCCCTGAGGAAGTTATGGGGGACGGTTGGGATCTGTATGTTTTGCAAGCGTGCTGCGTACTGCAGCTGTCTTGTAGTAAAACCTGGTCCTGTTATTAAGCATCATGCAGGTGTGCTGTGGAGCACTGCCAGTTGACAGGGGCACCATGAGCATGATGATGACTACGAGGAGAAAACGTCTGGTCTTGCCTTAAACATTGAAAGAAATAAGAAGCCTTATTTGTGTTCCTGCTAACAGAGCCTAATCTTGCGTATTTATTTATATTTTTATTTATAGGAAGTGAAAATAATTCCCTTTACCTATACTATAAGGGCCTTTCAAAAACGTTGCTGACATTCAAGTTTGATACAGTCAAAAGTGTCCTGGACAAGGATCGGAAAGAAGATGACACAAATGAGTTTGTGAGTGCTGTATGCTGGAGGGCGCTACCAGACGGGGTAAGCTTTCTCCCCAGGCACCCAGCCGGGTGCGAAAGGAATGCCTCCTGCTTTCTCATGAAATAGCGTTGCTCAGAGTTTGACTGCACTTGGTATTTTCCCATTTATGGGTATTGCAGATGGGCATGAGAACGTGAAGATCTGCAGGGTAACTGGAACACTGTGGGGTGTTGGGAGAGAACGGGCTACTTGCGATCTTTACTCTTATGCCAGCTTGAGTTTCTCTACTTGGCATCTAAAATCCCAAAAAGCAGTGTTGGGCTTCTGGCACTTCATGGTTTTTAATGGATGCATTAGCAGGTGTTTGGTTGCTTTAGTGAAGGCACTTGCAGATACTCGCTGTGGAACCGTATCTCGATGTTGCTGTGTCTGTGTGGGCTTGCTCATTGAAGTTCAGCCCCATGTTTTGATAAAGGTATGTAAAGGAGGCGAACCCAGGCTGCAGTCACCTCAGTGATTGTTCCAGTGACACTTAATTCATACACGTAGCATGTGTAGTAATGCTGCAGGCAGACCTGACGCAGCTTTTGTGGGAGTGGCCTTTCTGCATGGGCCTGCTCTGAAGAACACAATGCTGCTTTTTAAATTCAGAGTGCTCTTGGAAAAAGAAGAAGTTTGAACAGGTAGCTCTTGTGTGCATAAGAGTTTAGAGACCGGATAATTAATGGGCTTGTTGGAAGGAGGAGAAATGGAGCTCATCCTAAATACAGTCTTCCAAGTAGCTATGGTGGAACATTGCCTAATTGCTGCCCTGAGATGTTGTGTTCATGGAGACAGCGTTTTGAAAGAGTGATGTCTACCAATCTGTTTCCGTATGAAGAAGCTGCCCCCACAACCATGATTCAGTTGTCACTGGCATAAACTCACTTGCGGTAGGCACTCCTGAACCAAAACAAAAATAAACCTGAGTGTCTGAAGCTGCACTCTGGATTTAAAACTAACATGTGGGCTGTTGTGGTTTGAACGGTGGGCATGAGAGTTGGTAATGTAGGGATCACCAACTTCCTTCTGGCTGGGGATTTGGGAGGATTTGGTGTACACAGATGTCATAGCTCAGATGGAGAGTGGCTGTTAGAAGTTGTTTAATTCACCTTGCTGCTGGATAAAAATGTGCTGTGGGAACCTGTGCCTCCAGAAATGCCTTTCCTTGACCTGTCTTCACTGCGCTCTGTCTGCGTTGGGTTGTCCCGCCCTGTGACCACCCGGGCAGCTTCTCTACAGGCAACCACAGACCAACAGCGATACCTCACCCCTGTTGTTGTTTCAGTTGCGGTCCGCTCCTTATCAGTCTTCTCTCTGATTAATGTGCTTGACCATGATAGACCTTCTCCTTAAGTGACTGAGAAACTTTTGAGCAGTCACCAAGAGCTGTCAAGCAGTTCTTCATAGCCAATATGAAAAATACGGTGCAAAAATGCAATAGTTAAATCAGACCCATCGAAACTGCACCAAGTTAACGTTCAGGCTTCACTCCATTAAGCAGCGTTCAGAATCTGTCACTATCCTGATAAATATTTTTTTCTGTCGTTCCTCTGTTTTTCCCTGGGCTGCTTCTAAATTAGCCTGTTTCTCCTGTGGCAGCCACAGTGCCTGGCTCTTGTTTGTAAAGAAAGCGGCAAAAATTTGCCAGTGGTCTGAGAGCCACTGGCTGAGCGTTTTGCTTCCATGTTTTACCTCTGCCTGTGGTGCCTGCCATACATAGCAAGCAAGCAGCCTTGCTTGCTTTTGCCAAGAGGCCTTAATGCTTCCCTGCTCTGCATCTCCAGTCCCCCCGAGATGAGAAATGCTCTTCACCGATGCAGCTGCACATTTCTCTCCTCTCTTGTACCAGCACAGCGATCTGCTCCGACCTAATTGAGACTTTGCTCATGTTCTTAGGAAATTAAATCACTGCACAGCCAAAGGTTACTTATCTCTGCAAAGACACTTGAACAATGAAACTCTTCTGTTTTCCATTTTGATAACATTTCTTAAATTTGGCCTAAGATTTTTTTCTAAATGAGCTTCATATATACAGGCTTCCCTAATGATGCTCAGATGAACTAGAGAAGGCCTTTGCCTCACAGGGCTGTCAGATTCGGTGGGAACTGGGGAACCCGCAGCCTATTTCTGGCTTAATCACCGACTTTGATCCTCGGTGAGTCACTCTGCCTTCGTTTCCTAATTATAGGAGTTACCACACCTACGTTTCGCCACCGGCGGTGATCCTGCCTGCCTTGGTGAGGGGGTCCACGTCAAGCAGCTCCAGCCCAGAGCTGCAGGGAGCACGGCACGGAAGCTTCGCACAGCGGCAGGCATGCTGTTCTCTGTGCCTTGTTGGGCTGGTTCAAAGCCATCTCACTTGTCCCCGTGCCGTGGTCACTGGGCAGTAGCTCGGGCTCACTCCCCGACGTGTTTCTGAGGAGGGAGAGGCAGGCACTGTGTTGCCAGCCTTTCCCCAGGGCTCCTCGGTGGGCAGACTCTCCTCGGCTTCCCTTACAGTGTTGCTCTCAAGGATTGTTCTTTAATTAACCTTTTGATATGAATAAGTTTCCAGATTTGTCAGTTATCTTTGGAAGCATGAGCACACGTACTTCTTCATTTCATGCACTTAAGTGCAAAATCTTGGATCCTAATTAAAACTTAACTAAAACTTTCAGATGAAATGTCACTGATTCTTTCTTAAATCTATTTTTATGTAATTCAAGCTTTTAGTTCTTCCTGAGCCAAAGTCAAGCTGTGCCAGCAGCCCTTGCCAGAACCCTTTTTTTCTTTTCTTTTTTTTTCATTTCCCTCTGTTGGTTTTCCTTTGCTTACAAAGATTCAGGGACCTTTTTGCTAGAGCTGTCGCCTTTCCAACAACAGAAGTCCAGCCGGCACCTTCTTTCCACCTGTGTCAAAACCATAACGAGGGAGAGAAATTGTTCTCTCTAAGTGCTTATTAGCATTTTACATCGGGCTTACTCGCTTTTCAGCTCTTAGGTGATGTTTAGAAATAAGCACTAGTTTGTAGGCTAATAGTTTTCTTAGACTTCTTGGAGAACAAACAAGTGAACAAAAAGCCTGTCAGTAGGTCCATCAGGAAGCAAACTTCTACTTGCTTCTTTCAGTGCTGTGTGTTGGACAAAGCTAAATAGGCTGGTTAGTATTTTTAAATAGCACCTATTTATAGTTGTTGGGGAAGAGTTTCTCACTTCTCATTTTACTCTAAAAATCAAAAAGCAGAGAAAGCTTCAGGACGCTTTTGGCCTAAGTGACCTGATAAGCATAAGTCAGACACAGAGGTGCTTTGCAGAACCTTCCCTGAACCAAATTCTTTTATTTTCCAAGTCAAGGGCTTTATAATATACTAGTGCCATCCTTCACTTCTGGCACTTCGGCAAGATTTAGCCAGCTTGATTTGAAAAGTGAATCGTGTCTTGAGATTGCAAAATACATTCTTCTAATTCATTAGCATGTAAACAGACGATGCTCTTATGTAAAGTAGCTCACTGCAGCAAGGTGGGTTGAGATCTTTTATCTGCCTTGGGAGGGTCACTCCAGTTATGTCTAAGTACATGGATAGTAGCTGGAGGAGATTGGTTTGTACCTGAATTCCCTTAGGTGTCCTGCGTGATGTTTTCCCCTTCCCTGAAGGGGACACCTTTTGTTCAGACCTGATTTGCCATGTTACCGAGTTCGAGATGTGCCTCGTACAGTTGTGCTAAATAATTGTGTCTCAAGTAACCACTTCCCAGTCACGGTTAGCATTTCTCAGAAAGAAGCTCTCAGAAGAGAAACCAGGGCTGAACCTGCTCCCAGGACAGAAAGAAGGTATTACTGCTGAACACAGAAGCAATTTGATTATGTAGATTAAGCATGTCTCAATCTATCATAATCACTGTAAAGAAGCCATTTAATTTTGTACCTGTTTGCATGAGTATTCATTACTGCCGATAAGCAGGTTAGCCAGGGAAAGATTTCTCAAGCAGAAATGTCGAGGCTTTGATACCAGTGAGGAGATGCAGATAAGAAGCAGGAGAATACCATGCAAATTAGCTTAGGTAAAGCTTTATGTACCTTTTTTTTTTTTCTTTTTGAGGGGTAAAGTGGGGAAATCCATTGAGAACAGGGCTGCAGACTTGAACCAAGTCATCTCACCGCAGTGAGCAGATGGGTGGGGGTACATGCTGGGTGGTCTCCTTGGAGCTTGGGAAGGAGGCTCTCAGAGCCACAGGGCACTAGGGAAACACCTCCCCTGCCTCCCAGGGGAGAGCGGAAACCCATGTATGTGTTTTCTCCAACCTTGTCGTTGCTCTTCAAAAGTCATTATAGTTTAGGGGAGTCTCAAAACAATCATCTGCCCGTGATTCAGCGGAGGAGGCTCGGAGAGTCCAGGTTGCTTTTGAGCACTGTCATGTGATGGAACCGTCTTCGTAATTAGTCCCGTGTCGCTGGATTTCTCTTTGTCAATGTAAGAGGATGAAAATATTCCCTTCAAGTAGGTTTTTGGTGCATCTCTTCAGAGTGCAAGCTTTTCTCTGAGCGTTCATCTTTGTTTCTTAATGATGTCTGGCTTGAATTCTTTAAATAGAAACCTATAATTGTACCACAGTAAGCTGGTCACTTAACAGGGCTGTAATCTTGTTCACTGATGAAAAGTAGCCATCCTTTGTTTCCTAGTACCCTAATAAATGATGCACAATGTGTACAGGAGCTAGTCAGGGACTCTGATAATTTACAATCAGCAAATTGGCTCCCTTCACTGGAATTAATTTAGCCAATACAAATTATTTCGGGAAGTGATTCATTGCCATTTTAAAGCACTAATTAATTTGGATGACTTATGGACATTAAAAATGAAACCTTCTTTGTCATTCCCAGATAACCAAATGGTTATTCAGTGTCATTCTTAAGTAACTTGTATTGACTGTAACTGCCTCTCTTGTAACTTGAAATATGAATTCCAATGGGATTGCAGGGGAAAAAGAAGCGTAAGACTTTATTATTATTATTCTTTTTTTGTTGTTCTGCTTTGATGA